TAATAAAAACATTAAAAAAAAAATTTTAATAAAAAAAAAAAAAAGAAAGAAAATGCTGAAACACACATTCCACAAATTAAGATCTGCCTTATATTTTTTCCAGAATTTGTCATTACAATTTATTAGGTCTCTTTACCTTCGTAGGGAACTGTTGTGTGATCTCAGGGATGTATGTGTTTCCAGGGGAAGCTTTTCTAAGTGACACCACTACAAATTGCTGGAAGAGCTGCTGCTCTTGTAGTTGGATCAGGTCCCTCTCTAAAGTGCGGTAACCTGGCCGTCGCTTTAAAGTTGACTGAACGTACACTGTTCGCTGGGAGCGATCTATGGGAAAAGAATGTAAACAGCCTCGTTGGGTTTAGAAAAACTGCTCGACTGGTTTGATATACAAGTTAAACTTGAATAAACAAGAGTTCTCTGAGCCGAGGCCTGAAGTTGACACTGACCTTTAGAGCTCTCCTCAGGATCACTCTCTGTTCCACTTAATTCATCTGCCAAAAAACACACATTTACTGCCTGATTAGACTTCTTCTCTTGGTAAACCAGGTAAATATGAAATATGTATCCTCTTACCTCTGGTTGCTGTCGCCCATACTGTTTGTACACTAATGTTCAAAAGTTTGTGGTCAGTAAGATTTTTTTAAATGTTTTTTAACTGCGAGAGCAGTGAGACAGCACACTGTTGTGGCATCTGCCCTTGATGAGCGGAAACAGCGTGGTGGTGCTTTTCCCCGATAAACGCATAATGCTCACCATGTGTGTGGACAGTAAAGACCTTTTAGGCACCACTCAGAGCAAGCATCATGCGCTGCTTTGACCTCCACATTGACACCACTACAAATTGCTGGAAGAGCTGCTGCTCTTGTAGTTGGATCAGGTCCCTCTCTAAAGTGCGGTAACCTGGCCGTCGCTTTAAAGTTGACTGAACGTACACTGTTCGCTGGGAGCGATCTATGGGAAAAGAATGTAAACAGCCTCGTTGGGTTTAGAAAAACTGCTCGACTGGTTTGATATACAAGTTAAACTTGAATAAACAAGAGTTCTCTGAGCCGAGGCCTGAAGTTGACACTGACCTTTAGAGCTCTCCTCAGGATCACTCTCTGTTCCACTTAATTCATCTGCCAAAAAACACACATTTACTGCCTGATTAGACTTCTTCTCTTGGTAAACCAGGTAAATATGAAATATGTATCCTCTTACCTCTGGTTGCTGTCGCCCATACTCGTTTCCTTCCTCTTTTGGCTTCAAATATCTCCTGGATCCTGTTTACAAGCTGCATGAGAAACACACAAACAAGATTTCATTTTTGTATCCTAAAAGCAATATTCCAGCTTGATTACAACTTTAGTTTGTACACTAATGTTCAAAAGTTTGTGGTCAGTAAGATTTTTTTAATGTTTTTTAACTGTGAGAGCAGTGAGACAGCACACTGTTGTGGCATCTGCCCTTGATGAGCGGAAACAGCGTGGTGGTGCTTTCCCCCGATAAACACATAATGCTCACCATGTGTGTGGACAGTAAAGACCTTTTAGGCACCCGAAAATGAGAAATGTTGCCTTAGCAAAGAAATGAAATAAAATATGCTTAAGTTGAAGTACTAAAATTACTAAAAAATAAAACTGAAAAGCTAATTATAGGAATATTACAAAAAAAGCACAAAATTACTAAAAGTTATAATAAAGTTCAAATGAAATCAGGAAATATAAAAAAAGAAAGCCAATTAAAAATATTAATAAGTACTAATAGTATATCTAAATAAAACTAAAATAAAATTTTGGTAGTGTCTTCAGATGTTTCACTTTGAAAAGATGAAATAACATCTGCGCTAACCAGTCAGCACAACCTACAAAAGAACTTGACATCTGACTGAACAGCTTCCACATTTCCCACATGCTGTTTGATGTTAAAATGGGTGATTTCTATTGAAGAAAGGCGGGTTCTTGCCTCCCCTTTCTGCTCACTCTCTTTATTAAAACAGCATTTCTCCATGAGCTTCATCTACACTGCTTCGGCCTGCTGATTTTAGCTCTTCCAAAATAATTGTATGGATCATACTGACACAAAGCTGAATATAGCTGATTAGTCAGCAGCAGCGTCCAGTATGATGCACCGGCACTTCATGATAATCCTCAATCTCTCGTGCGCCAAAACGGAGCGTTTCCTGCCACCATCCATCCATCTTCTCACCACTTCCTCCCTCCTTTTCCCTCTTCCTGCTCAAGCATCAAAGCTGACATTTCTACTCAGACTATGTCTGTTTCTCTTTCTTCTTATATTCACTGCTATTTTATTCATGAGAACTGGGACAAAACAGGCTAGAGAAATGGTTTATGTATCAAATGCATAAAAAAATTATTTATATAAAATAATTACCCTGCATCATATTTTCTGAATGAATTCCAATACTTGTTTCTTACAGAATAGAGCATGTATTGCTCTAGCAGTTCACATTTTCTTACAAAATATGATGCATTTCATTGCATTTTTTGCTTTCGACAACCACTTGTAAGGTAAAGAAGTTTTGTATTATCCCTTAATCAGCAGAAAAACTGCCATAAAAGACATGATTCTTATTTTCCTCAAACTATTTGTTGAATTCTCAGCAGACATTAACATGCATGAATCATGCCTATTCCTGATTTTATGCCTTATGCCTGTCATTTTAAGACAGAAGACAATGCAAACATGACACACATGTTTTATGCTACATCTGTAGGTGTTTTACTACATCCAAACCGTGACAGAAAATTACATATTTTGTGAAAAAGACTTATTTATAAACTTGTGTTTATGTGAAGTTCTAAGACATTAAACAGAGTTTTTTTGTTTTCGGAGAAAACATATTTTCCCACTCCTTTGGAGATTGTTAGTTAAATTATACATTTTGAACACTTTTTTGTCATTAAAACTGTTACTTTTGACATTTGACTGCTTATGTTGTTTTGATAAGTGCATTAAAGCTGACATATACATTTTTATTTTGTGAAAAAACTTTCCCTAATGTAATTAAAGTTTGTATGAATATTTTTTAACTCAGTATCATCAACTCATGTAGGTAATATTAGGTCTTTTTCTCAAGATGCTGGATGTGGAAAGCTTCTGTTTCTTCTGTTTATAAAATACTAAAGAATTTATTATATCATGTAAAAGTTTGGTTAAAGTTCATATGCATGCAATCAGAGAAACAGGTGACAGTAGGCACATGTTGAGCAATGTTTAATGACGTCTCAGGCACATGTTTATGCGTGTGGGTTTACCGGGGGTTGTCGGTTTGTCCTGTATGTAGTAGCAGGTTTGGCTGCTGATGATTTAGGAGTGTTTGTAGTAGAGGTACGTGTAGGTGACGTTATGGATTCTTTGCGGTCCCGCCCCATTTTATGCAACCTGTCACCGTTAGGTAATAGTGTGAAGGGCTTCGGTGAGATCTGCATACAGTAACAGACAAGAGTAGGAAGTGAGAAAACAGATAGTTTAGATTAACAATTAGCCAGTGGCCTTAATGTAAAATTTCTTTTTCTAATAAAAATAAATAAATAAATCAGTGGGAATAAATGGCTCTGAAAATTCAGTTTTTTAAAGAAGTCTCTTAAGTTCAACAAGGCAGCATTTATTTGATCAAAAATGCAATAAAATGGTAAAAACATATAACAATTTAAAACAACCATTTTTTAGTTAATAAAGAAATAAACTGCAAAATAATGAGTGCCTTTTCTATCACTTTTGATCAATACATCCTTGCTGAATAAAAGAATTAACTTTTTTGAAAGAAAAAAAAGTTTTACTGAAACCAAACATTTGAGCGAGTGTATATGCTACTTACTGAAATCTGACAAAATCACTATGCATTTAAAATGACAGTCACCTTGATGTGAGGGCTCTCTCTCTGTCCAACTGTGTAGTTTCGTGGCCGTCTTATAGGTAAACACATAGGAGAAAGCTTGATGTCTTCATATGGGTTCTCTTTTGACATATCCGCTGTAAATGATTAGTTGAGAAAAAGTTGCAGCTACTATAATAATAATAATAATAATAATAATAAGTCACGCAAAAAACATTTTGGTGTTCTCTATTCTGGCTTCAATACATTTAAGGACATGCAAAACAACATGGTTTCAAAATCAACTATTCGGCGAATAAGATTCCTTTTTGCTTTCAAAAACAGCTAGATGGTCTAATGCAGCTATCTTGGGATGCATTTTTACAAGTTAAGACTATCAAATTGGCATGGCATCTCAAAAACAGAGGAAGACATCTAAGAAATCTGTCTGTGTAAGCATGTTAATTAATGCAAGTAAAGCATGCACCACTAAAATGCCTTTCAAATGTTTGGGGTCAGTAAGATTTTTCAATACTTTGAAGTCTCACCAAAGCTGCATTTATTTGATCAAAAACACAGTAAAACAGTTAAAACAGCTGTTAAAACAATTTGAATATATCTGAAAGTATAATTTACTCCTGTGATAGCAAAAAGCGGAATTTTCAGCATCATTACTCCAGTCTTCGCGTCACACAATCTTTAAGAAATCTATTCTAATATGACTGAAATTCTAATATGCTGATTTGCTGCTCTTTTCATAACATTATAAGTCTTTATTGTCACTTTTGATCAGTTTAATGTATCCTTCCTAAATAAAAATATTAATTTCTTTAAAAAAAAAAATCTTTCTGAACCCAAACATTTGGATGGTAGTGTATAAGAAAAAAGTGAATACAATAAGACGAGAGTCAGTGCAGACATATTTTCTACTATGCTTCACAGTAATATCAGATCGATGACGTGTGTCTTGGCGTTCTCAGAATCACTCACAGATGATGTCCTCATAGATGCTGTCTTCAGACCGGGCGTGGTAAAGACCTGATCGGTGGCCCTCCTTCCCTCTAGAGGCCTGTTGGGCTGTCCGCCGTACCACATCCTCAAACTCAAATGACTTCCTGTGGAGAAAAGGACCAAGAGTGTGAACAGTCCCTGTATTGTGATCCGACAACAAGGTTTGGGACTTTCATAAAGGGTAACCATTAATCCAAAAAGGAACATTCCAGAATTCACATCAAACATTTAAAATAGACATGATATAGAATTGATACATTATGACTGGAACAAACACTGGGCTCCAAATAATCAAGAAGAAAAACAATTAGAGGAAGGAGTAAACAACAGCGTGACCGTATGAGTGTTCAGAAAGCCCTTGAGTGACCTCAGCAGGCTTCGTTGAAACAGAAGTAGGCCAAATGTGGACAATGGGCTGCGATTCTGCCAAAGAACAGCTGACATGACAGCTGGGGACGAGGCCAGACAGCTAAACTATCGCCCACTCACAGCTAAACTCTCCACGCTGTCCTCTGACACAAAGCTGTCCAACTCAGAGTATGAAATAAACGAGAACGACAAGTAGATCTGTAAACTTTCTTAAGAAACTGTGAGTGGTGTTTACATAAGTTCACCCCAAAAAATCTGTCATCATTTACTCACCGTCATTCCAAACCTGTATGATTTACTTTCTTCTCTGGAATACAAAAGAAGATATTTTGAAGAATGCTTTAGGGGCAGTTCACACAGAAAGCGTCTAAAAACTTGTGCTCAGGAATGGTTTTTTTTTTTTTTAAACTTGCTACTGTAAACAAAAGCTTTAAAGGGTTAGTTCAGCCAAAAATAAAAATTAGGCTGTGTTTCACTCACCCCCGATGCATCCTAGGTGTATATGACTTTCTTCTTCTTGCCCCGCCTCCAGGGTCTTCTTATTTGTCCACTGTTTTGGAACTGACATTGATGAGCGGCTCTGCATGTAAAAGCTGAAATTATTTTAACTTGACCACATTTTAAAAACGTGGCACTCATGCAATACGCTGCAAAAGATGCTAGACATTAGCACAACGGTCATGCATGTCCTTCTAGTGCATTCTAGTGCTTGGTGTTTTCCCCCATACTATGAAGGTCAATGGGGCTCCAATGTTCTTCAAAATATCTTCTTTTACGTTTAGAAAAAAAAGACACAAGGTAAGAAAATTATGACAATTTTCATTTTTGGCTAAACTGTCACTTTAAAGTGAGATGTTAACATATATGAACAGGTTGAACATCAGTGAAAACAACAATAGCACTCATTATGTCTATTATTAAGGGAAAAGTGGTTCTTTTTTCATTTTTTGGAGCAATTTCGTTCTTCCACACTGTCAGTTCACCTCTGTAAACATGACCGTAACAACACGTGGCGTGCGCATGAGAGAGCGGTTTCTGCGCTGAACACCGCGATGAGTTTAACTACACTCACTGCGCTGATCATAGTTCACATCCGGACCGGCAAGCGTGTTTCAAGTTTTGTGAACATATTTTATATTCTCCATTCTATGATATTCTTGCTCAGGTCCTTCAATGTAAGTCTATGGGATGTTTAAAATCTGATCACTTTGAAAACTAATAGCACACCTCTCCTCAACAATCCACATGATTTGAGCTATTAATCAAGGTAAGGCATATCGGTATGAGAACGTTTCAGGCCAACACCTATTGTTCGTGAGGATATATCATTTGTGACCAGGTTTAACAGGTTTTGAAAGCCAGCAAAACGCTATTTATAAAGGCTTATCAACCCGCTTTTTTGTACAATATAATTATATGAGGAAGTTGTTTGATCACGTTATATTGCTAGTTTTTGAAATCTGCCATTTTATTAACCCAATTATTTTATATTAACTCATTTGACGGCATGACATTACTTATGATGCAGCAAAATGAAAATACGACAAACTGGGTGGAAAACCAAAAGTGGAAATAATATTACTTTAAATTAGAAATTTAAAAAAAGAACAAAGAATGGACAAGTACAATGGTGGAAATGGCATCATATGGATCTAAAAATGCTGTTAAAGACTTCAACAATTAAAGAACAGAAATAATTGATGGCAATTTTGTGTTTGATCTTGTACTTCATCTGTATTTTCTTTTTGTCTCCCTTCCCCCTTTAAGAACTTGTAAGCCATATGATTGTTTTGTTGTATACATGCCTGCTACCAACTAAAAACCTCAATGAAAGAAAGACTTTGTTTACAATAACTAAACAAATTCTAAATATTGTAATATTTTGTATATATTGTGATTGTGAAGTGATTACATAAATATATTTAATGCAGCACCTGACAAGATCCATTCATGAATAAGAAATTGAGTTTAAAGTATTTACAACTGTTGGACGCTGTACTAAAACTTCCGTCATTTCCTTTTCTTATGTTTGGGATTAGCTGTGTAATGTAATCCACACTGTGGGAAAAGTATTCACCTGTTCTTTCTGTTTCTGGAAAACCCATTGATAGTATTGACTGGACAAGGAGGAGGTGGACAGCTGGGTGGCTTTAGTATGATGTCATGCTTCCGGACTTGATTCGATTTGCTGACTGATGGAGTCTGGTCCTCCAGTTGGATCCATTGGCCGGGCGGACTGCTCGCACCCTTGTACTGGAATGTGCGCTGTGGTTTAGGTGGAGGAGAAGAAGGTCCAATTTCACCAAGACCCTTAGTCACCACTGAGGAATCCTTCTCCTTCTCCCATAAACAGTCATCTGCCTCCAGTCGTTTCCAGAAACCCCTGGAGGTGTAAAAATTCCCCGGAGGCAATGACGCCTCTGGATCATCTACACATTGAGGTAGAGATGTAATTTCGACATCTGTGAAATGGTTTGTCTTGATATTATTGCTTTTAACATTCAGTTTAGCCACTTGGACTTGGGTTACAGTGCTTAAAGGCTTAGTCACAGGAGTTGATGTAACTAATTTATTTGAATGAGTTCGATTTCTTGGGAAATCAGACTGGAGTTCATCTGTAACTGGTCTAAAAGTCATCTGGTTTTCCCTGAAATCCAAACCCAAGCTTTTGGCTTTTGATACAGTCGCTTTGTTACGACCTCCATCATTGCCATCAAGTCCATTTCCAAGGAGGTCCCCTGAAAGCCTGCGAGATGCAAGAGTCCGCTGGGGCTTAATATTCCCACTGGGGACGTCCTCCTGCTGGCTGAGTCCCTCCCATTGGGAGATTTTCTGCTTGATGTTGACGCCAGGCTCTCGCGTGATCGGCCACGCTGCCGTTGTTGTCACCGTCTTCCCTGCGACGACACTCCCCTCTCTTTTTCCATGGTCCACTCCAAGGGCCAGCATGACGACGAGGCTGCCGTCACACCGCAGGACTGTGTGGCATTGCAACAGCGAGCCTATCAAGGAAGAAACCCTTCCTTTGTGGTGCAATGAAGTTAATAAAGATCACCAAAGAACCCTTTTCCTGTAGGAGTCAGTTCCTCTGCCATTCTTCCTTCACTTTGAAGCCTGCAAAGGAAAAAAGCAAACTCAACAAGTGGGTTTATTTAAGATTTATTTAAAACTGAAATGGTTACTGAAAGAGGTTTGAGTTGATTTGTTGAAAAAAAAAAAAAAAGATCAAGTATGATGAACACCCCCAAAAAAAGTTTTCCCAAATCTTGCAGCCCTAAAAGTATTTCACACTCAAAAAACATCTTCAGAGTAAACTTTTTTCAGAATTTGTTTTTCTATTTATATTTTCTTTGCAAATGCACGCCCCAAAAAAATCACCCCACTTATTCTAGTATGATTCACTTTCTCTAAATATTGCTGTTCAAATACTTTGGTGAACATTCCAAATTCCTGTATTTTGTCATATCACATATATATATATATATATATATATATATATATCACAAAAAAATGCAATGTCAGGTTTAATATCATGCATCCAACTGACAAGCACATTTTGCACACATAAAAGATGATGGTCCCTGCATGCTGCATAAATGCAGGAAACCAAAGATCGTCACTGTCAAGGTCAGCAGCTAAACCAAAAATAAAAACCCTAACAAAGAGGAGACGGACAACCACAGGAACATGGGAGAAGACAAAGCATTCTGGGGGCCTCCATCCCCAGGAACACCCACCACCCCCACTCCCACCCTCTCCAGCTGGGCCCGTCCCAAGAACTGCCATGCATTAACACACTTGAGCATAATGTAATTAAATTTCACTCCTCCCCAAAAGCTTCTTTCAGCCGCTGCACGAAAAGGACGGGCATTCCAAGTATTTCCACATCCATGTGCGCATAATAGAAGGGCCTTCATTGTGGCACAAGAACGAGCGGTCAGCACATCAATGAGGAAAATATGCACGATTTCATGCATGTTAATAAGTGCTGGTGTCTATGCAACAAAAAGAGGCCACTTGAAATTCCTCTTTCCTGCGTCTACTGTAGACGGGATGGATCTGGCAGCTCTAACGCAAGCCCTCATCTGCAGCCAAAGTGTTTTGGACACGTTGCACATTACGCTGAGAGTGAAGACATGCTGGAATTTCTTGGCACTGCGATTGAACGACATAATTCGGTAAATATGACCACATTTGATCAGCCGGACCCGAAAATGATGCCTTTGTTCTGGATGACCTACATCTAACGTACGCGCTGGAATCTCTCCGTGATTCGAACCAGATTTCATCCCCCTTGATCATCGCATCTACTGACCCACTTGTGTCTGCGAGCGTGTGCAGGAAGGCCTAGCCTGTGTTTCCTGATTCACAGGAAGTCCGGATCAGCAGAATGTCCATAACGATGGTTTTACAAATTTAATCTGGTGTAGTATTTCCAAGCTTGTTTTTTGTGACTCAGATGTCTGGAATGAAATTGGACACGGCAAAGTTCACACATGGTACTGCGTAGGTTTGGACGGCCAGACCAAGCAGTTAATTACAACTTGCGAGGGTCTGCAGTAAGCCGTCTAACTCCAATCATCCTGACTTCAACTTCCCGACTGCGTGCGAGGAGGAAGATCTCGTGACGTTAACCCACAACCTGAAAGGGGGTATAAATCCTTTCTCTCTTTTCTCCAAGCCGCCTGCTTCCAGGTACGCCGACGAAGCTCTACGTTTGGGGTTTGGTTATCAAAAGAGTCATCAGCAACCGCAGACATACACAAAACACCCCTACAACGCCAACATCAACCAGACACTAGTATTACCCCAGCCCTTAAATGGTAGACAATCAAGACATAAATAAACTATAATATTACCTTGAACAGGTGATCCACCCACCCAGGTACTTGTGCATGAGGGGACATGTCTCTGGGTGGAGTAGATCAAGAGGGTGGGAAAGTGAGTAAGTTCACTGTCAAAACTAAACCTAATCATGTCTAGCCTATATGACAAAACATTGTGTCAAATACTGTCTAGCATATTGAGCTGTAAAAGTTAATAAATAACTCAACTATGGTGTCAACACTATAGACATTTTCACCCAAAGGCGAAATGCGAAAAGCTGAAAAATTAGACTTTATCCAACATGAATAAATTAATTTTTGATAAGCATGTTTATTTGCAGGCTAAATTTCAGCATAGTTTAAATGTAAACAAAAGGCGTCTATAATAAGACATGAATAAACATTTAAAAAGGGTATTTATTATTAAAAGCTCTAAAATCAAGTATGAAAAATTAAATATAGAAATATAGAATAAACATAAATATAGAATAAATAAAATAAGAAAATGATAAAATAATTCATTAAAAATAAATCAAATGTAAAATATAATGAATTCAAATAAAACAATAAATACATTTTAAATAAGTAAATAAATACATACATAATTACATAAAGAAATACATACACACAAGCAGTAGAGCTCTATCATGTCAGCCAGTTTAGATCTTTTGTTATGAAGAAATATCAACTTACTTACGCAAACTTGCTCGCTGTTTCACAACACATATGTTGGACTCCGCTGAAATAAATCGAAATAAAAGTTCTCGTAAGAGTTCACTAAGAGTAAATACTGAGTCTGTAAATCTGTTGTGGACCCGAAGTCTTCATATCCTACGGCTGGTTAGCCAGGCGGCTAAAAACTTGCTAGGAAAAAAAAAAACTTTGTATCCATTCACTTTCACAGCGAGTAAGCGACGCGTTTCAAAGTAACAAATAATTCCCGGCAACTGGCAACAATGTAACTCCTGTTGCTGTTTATATTCCCCACAGAAAATGTAATCGGCGTTCCTTGAGGAGTGGATGTGTTCGTGTAAGTCCTCCTCCTGTGCTGTCAGTTCCCCATCTGAGCTTCGGTTCCTCTGAGTGAATGAATCAGCTCACGAACTGGTGCTGCAATAAAAGTGTCTCTTCATAAAACCAGCCATGTGTTCATGGGAACTGATTCGGTAGAAAACTCACCATCTTGAAACGGAAATGCTGCTTTATTGTCTTGATTTTATTGTTTTAACTCTATAGTGACACGAGGGAAATGTATGCTAAAACTGCCTTTTATTGAAATGCTTTGGCAATATTCTACAGGGAGCAGTGTAGCCCATAAAGCACTCTTTTATATAAATAGGATATTATTATTTACGAGAGCTTACAATACAATGAAATGTTGTATTCTGTCTGTGTCTGTGTGTGTATATATATATATATATATATATATATATATATCACACACTTACAACACACATAGGCTACACGTGACTTCACATAATATTAACCTATTCATATTGTCATGTCCTGAGACGTATTTTATTTGTGATTTGTTCTGTGTGCTTTGTGGTGTGTTCTCTTTTGTTTTTTCCCCCCATGTCTACTGCTACCATTCTCATGCAGGTGATTGGGTTCACCTGTTGCTGATTTGCTGTCCATTCACCTCAGCTCCACTGATTGGCTGCAGCCAGGAGAAAGCCAGCATATAAAGCCAGCACTGCCTCACAACAAACTGAGAGGGTTGCAGATTGTAACCTGTCACATGGATTTCTTTTTGCTGGTTCCAGATAACTTTATTATGTTCTGTTGTTATTAAGTGCTAACCATTGGTGCTACTGTGGATTTAGTTGGGGACTTGTAAATTTGTTTAGAATTTAAGTGTTTTGTAAGGAAACTTGCAGGGAGGTGGGTGCCTTTTTCTTTAATCGCTTTTCTCCTGGTTATCTAGGTAGTCAAGGAGATAGGGAAGTTCATTTTGTTATTTTCTTTTATGCATAGGTAAGTTATGGTTAAAACAGAGTTCGAAATCTTTTTGTGTTGGCCTTTGCTCCCTCCTGAAGCTTATGTTTCCCTTTATCTTTTTCTTATGATTTAATAAAAAAAAACTTAAGTTCTTGTTTGGAGGTGTTATTGGGGCTGGAGCCAAGAGGTCCCTGTGCTCTCTCTCTCCAAAATTTGTTACTGCTAGGTCCATTACCTCTAGACTAAAAGGGCTAGCATGTAACAATATGTATAACAGTTATTTATTACATATTCTGTACAATATTAAGTATAAAGTCATACAATAGGTCTGAGAAACAAAAAATTTAACTTGTATGATATTCTCTTACTATCTTTTTATACAACTCAAGTTTCTCAAGATGCATGACACGTCATGCCTGGTTTGGCATCAATGACAGTAAATGTCATTGGTTCTCATGTTCCCAAGACGTTTACCGAATGTGTCACGATTCATTTTAATTTGCAGAAGTGCAAATGATATTTGCAAGCTACAGATGGGAAGATTTTCAGTGAATAATGATTGAGATTTCATATCATTGCTTACACAAACCTCTTGTATGACTTTAGAAGACTTGGAATACGGTGAAATGGGTATGGATTAACTTTAATAATAGATTTGATGTTTGTTTTTTTTAAATAGAAGTGGTTTTGATGTTCTTTTTAACGCTTGATAGTCTCATTGTATGAAAAAGGACAGCATTAACATTTTTTTTTTGCTCAAAAAAGTTAGTTAAATTATGGCAAGTTATGAGCAAACAATGGCAGCATTTGCAATTCTGTGTTTAATATAAAAATCAGAACACTATATTTTAAATATAGATTTTGTTTGAGTCAACTGTAACAGGTTTTTTCCAAAGCACGACCACAAAAAACAATACAATAAGGCACAGAGTAGATGTAAACTTAGTTAAGTGTAAACCTGACTTGCAGATCAGACAAAATGCACAAACCACCGATGAATCAGACTCCTGTGTACAAGAAGACTCAAAATATGTTCTGGAGTGTCAATTCTCATTAAGATATTGGCTATGTTTCATGGATTGTTATCTCATGGGCTTCACATTGATGCTAATATAATTGTCATTGGAAGTGACATCATTTAAGAAGAGTGTAGAACAATCCACTTTTCATGTGTGCATGTTTGTTTAGTCAGCCATCACGCCCTCTCTAATGAGGTTCAGCTCATAGCACAGGGTCTCGTAGCGGTAGGCCATGCGAATCTGAGCCAAGTTGGTTTTGCGGATGTCATTGCCTTCAGGACCGTCCTTCAGGTAGTTGGTACCAAGGAAGTGAATCTTTTCCTGTTTGTGTGAGAAAAAAAGATCATGTTGCAATGACAAGTCACCTTTATTTCTATAGCACTTTATACAATACAGATTGTGCGTGTTTTGAGCAGGGAGGGGGGGGCTGAGAAGTAAAACCGGGGGTTGCAGGTTGGGGTCACGTGACAAGAGTGATGCGAGAAGACTGACACTATGATGACGGATCCAAAAGCAACTTTTGTAAATAAAACTTTAATTTCTTCATTTAATATGAGTGTCTTTATTCGTGTTTTGAGCGGGGGGGGCTGAGAAGTAAAACCGGGGGTTGCAGGTTGGGGTCAAGAGTGATGCGAGAAGACTGACACTATGATGACGGATCCAAAAGCAACTTTTGTAAATAAAACTTTAATTTCTTCATTTAATATGAGTGTCTTTATTGTTTAAGAGTAAGAGTAATATTGAATCAACCTTAAGCATTAATTTTGTTTCAAGAATAGGAAAGATCTAATGTTAAAGATCAAAATAAGCGCTACAGATGTGAAAATGCGAGATTTGTTGCTGTTGAGTTAAACGCTCTTGCTCTTTCTCTGCTGTCTCTTTGCTATGTCTGTAGATATGGTCATTAATTCTTAATTTGGGTACGGCACAGACATGTTACAGGTAATAAATAATATGATCAAAAAATCATGGCAACAAATGATTTTTTAAGTCAATTTAATAAGTTGAAACGACTTTCACAGTCAACTTGATTCAACTAAACTCATGTTTAACTGTTGCTTCTTGTTGGCTTGGGCTACTTTTTCAATTAATTTTAATGGATATACAAATTAATAAAAATTTATTTTATTTTTTGTTTCAAATTGTTCATTTATTTTTAACACCGCACCCCCATTTTTTCGTGGGTTACACTCCAGGGGGTGCTGCAGCACTCTCAGTGCCCCTACTTCCCACGGTAATGAGATTTTGTCAAAGCAGCTTTAGTGGAAACCCCACTAAAGCAGCTCTAAAAGCTCTTATATCAATAACAGTGTAAAGATCATGAAGTTTGAAATGAGATCAATTCAGATGTAAACACAACAGTTGTACAGTCAGCAATGTTGTTTTTCAGTTCATATCAGTTCGGTGTTGATTCAGTTTAATCAGTATAATACTAGTGTTGATGTTGAAAGATGCGACTCAGCTGTAAAGCAGCTATACAGAAGATGATGGTACTGAAAGTCCACAAAAACACTGCTTAACCCTCTTTAGATGTGTAACTCCCAAAATTAATAAGTTGGAATTATGAATTATTAGATATGGAATCATTAAGTTCTTACTTTTAAGTGTAAAAAGCCCCCAAAACATTAAGATCAGTGTTGTTATTGTTACCTAAAAGTAGAACTTATCAAAATAGTTTTAGTAAGTTTTAGTTTAGAAACAAAGCTGAAATAAAATGAAATGTATAAATATGAATTGAAACACCTATACTTAAAAAAGTTAAAAATCAGAAATGTTGCCTTGGCAACTAAATTAAATAAAATGTTTAAGTTGAAGTAGTAAAATGACTAAAAATAAAACTGATATAAATAAACCAAAGCTTAACAGAAAAAAAAAAAAAAGTCAAGTTACTGAAACTTAAAATGAAAACTCAAAATATAAAAATAAAGGCTCATTCAAAGTATTAATAAAATAGCTGATTAAATTTAGATACATACATTTTAATCTGTGTTATTATAGTATTATTTATTAAAATTAGCTTTACAGTCAAATTAAAATGAAAACATAACACATACACACATAATTTGTGATTTAAAAATCATCTATTACAGGGTTGCTTGTAAAGTTGTGTAATTTAATTAAAAAATTTTAGCACCAGTAAAAACATTAAACATATAATCTATAGTTACACAACAAAAAACCTTAACATTTGCTATATTCTAAAAGAATATACCTTGGGTCTAGATCAGTAAAATTATGCATATGAAAAAAAAAAATTATGTTTCAGTGATGTGTTCAGGTGCCCTCACCTCATCAGACAGGCCACTCTGGAGAACACTGTTTCTGGCAATCTCACACATGTCACAGGTGCTGAGCTTGAACACCTGGGCTGCAATGGCATATTCCTCCATAAGGGGCTCCTAGTGATGCAGGATTCAAATAAACACACAGATATCAAATCAATGGAAGCGAGGGAGAAGAAGCAACTAATTTGTACATAAGAAAAGGGGTGAAGCCTTACCTTAGTGTAGTGGAACTGCATGGGGTCATCAGTAGACAGAGAGACCATCAGTCCCTTCTTGTGGAACTCCTGCAGAGGATTCTTGTTGTACTCTAGGAACAGACTGTTGTTGCTGAGTGGGGACATGGCAATGGGGACCTGGGCCAGGTAATACAGATACTGCAGGACAGGGCTCTGTGGAACGTGAGGTGACAGTGAGTGTATTTTGAAGACAGAGAAAGTGTATGGGGATAAGGTGTATTGGTCAGGGTAAATGTAATAAATCAGGGTAAAATGCCTTTCTCACACAGAACAACCTCCTCGACAGCAACCAGTCTGGTTTCAAAAGAAGACATTCAACCGAGACTGCCTTGCTCTCAGTTGTTGAAGCCGTAAGACTGGCAAGAGCGGATTCCAAATCTTCAAATCTTATCTTGCTGGATCTGTCCGCTGCTTTTGACATGGTTAACCACCAGATCCTCCTGTCAACGCTATTGGCAAAGGGCATCTCAGGAACCACACTCCAGTGGTTTGAGTCTTACCACTCAATCCGAGCAGCTGAGTCCTTAACCATCTTCAAGAATCGGCTTAAAACACATCACTTCCATCTTTATTTGACCCTCTAAACTCTAGCACTCTTTATTCTAATTCTATTCTTAAAAAAATATATATATATTTTTTAGACATGCACTCTATTCATTTACTGCTTGTTTTCTAACACTAGCCTTTCTAATCTTTTTGTATTCTATCTATTTTTTTCTTTTTATTTATTATACAATTAACAAAAGCAAAAAAGGCCTCTAACACTAGCTTGCTCTATTCTTTTTCTATTCTATCTGTTTTCTTTTTATTTATTATATAATTAAAAAAAACCTTGCTACGTGTACTGCGTTGAGACTTGTTATAGCACTTGCATAT